CACTTCAGTGATGTGTGCCAGCCATTATGCACCAGAAGCCCCAGTATAGAGCAGAACAGGTACAGAGACTGCTTCACCGACTGAATGAAGAGGGAACTCCAGGTCAGACAAAGCAAGCTTAGAGTGGAAACTGGCCAGGAAACCAGGCACCTCTTTAAGCATGGGGTATACTGAAGGGCTGGGGAGCAAACTCTTCCACAGACAGGACAGCGCCACCTACTGGCCCACCTGTATCACTTACAGCTGCAATCTTTCCAAGATTTTCCAAGGACCTTTCACAACCTAGTACCGGCCAGGCCCAGACTTGCTTGGCGTCCGCAATTTGACCAGAGCAGGCTACAAACCGGCCACACGACTGTCTTCCTGCAGTACAGTATAGTACAAGTACAGTATCAAAAAGACTCAGCATAGTTCATCTTGAGGGATCTCATGGAAACTGGCTTCAAAATGATTGAGAGGCGGGTTTTTCAACTTCTGAATATAGCTATAGTGTGGTAAAAGAGCATGACACTGATGGATAACGTCATCTCAGACTCAGGCTAATGACCTGATCCAGACTTTTGACTTACACCTTCCTTCGGAAGGAGCAACTTAACTGGTTGAACCACAAACTTCCATACAAGGAACTTTTCAATTGCTTGCAGGTGCCAACAGGAGTAGCGCTAGCATGCAAATTCCATAGATTAACTGATACAGGACAACTGAGCTGTACTGCAAGTAGGTTTTGGAAAAATTCACCAATATTTACACGAGGATCACAGAAGTATGAAACATATGTTATTATTCTCCATGTTACACACTTAGAAAACTAGAAAACTCTTTTTATACATGTTTGAGTGTCGCTGTTTTTTTTAATTCTAATCTAATGGAAAAAGATCCACACTCAGTGCAGATCATTAAATCAATTTTTCCCCCCCAATCTGTCACTAGCTAGGAGAAGTTAAAAAAAAGTGAGCACTTCACTCCAATTTCAGTCAACAGTGCATCCAAATCCAGCCTTCCAAAGGATAAGGAACTGAACACACAAGGTAATAATCCAAGCACAACCCTTCCGAGTACTGTATCTGTTTCTTTTCACTCACCAGTGCTGCTCTTCCTTATGAACTCATTGATTAGAACCACCATCGATTACCATCCATTTCAATTACTGCCTGAGGCCTGGTGCTTGATGGAGAAGGGTCAGTGGCTTCTAAGTCAAAGCCAAAGAAATGTTACTGTGAAGGCACTGACTGTACTCTCCAAATGTCAACAAATCTAAATTTAGAAGGCTAACAACCATTCAAATGTCCACCCAAATGCATCATGTCTAAAGCAAATTAAAAGATCGGCTTGCAGCTCAAGCATTCAGAGGAAAGCTGGCGTTTCTGCAGCCACAGATGCTGCTGACCAATATCCACTTTGAAGGAATTCGCAGGGAATTACAGAGTACTGAGGTCTGAACATTCAGTCCTTTCCCACCCCACTGCATTCAGTTAGAACAGGATCTGGAAACACTCTGAATGTTTAGTTTTCCTGTTGATTTTCTCAATTCAGCCACTGAATCATCGACAGGTACACAAAAGGGCATAGCAGCAGCAACAGACACACGCAAATTAAATGCGTCTGTATTAGACTGCGAGTAGATTTTGTCCACTGATCCAATACATGCACATTCGCTCTACAAAGAAAAATGTTTAGTTCAAGATCTCAAAAAGGACACAAAATATTAGATTACCCCTAACTAGAAATGACCCTCACTTCATCCTGTGCTGTGTCAGCTAATAAGGGAGGTCTGATGGGAAAATTCGGTCGAAGCTGGTCTTGATTACAGTACCCTCCAGACCTGAAGGCCTGTAACCTTTTTTCCTATAGGGTTCCCTGAAGGACAAGATGTCCAGGAATAACCCATATACTCCTGGTCACCTGAAAAGGAAATTATCCAAAGTCACATTATAGAAAGCAATATAGAACTTTAAAACAGGATTAGTGCATGTTCTTGAGATACAGCAGATGGTACATGTATTATATATAAATAAACAAGCCTAAACAAACTCACAACCTTACCCATTTTAAAAGCTGAAGAAAGGTTTTTGTGATTAAATTTACATTTATTTTGCCTTTCTTTAGGATCCTACAGACCAGGAGTATTCAACATAGGCAGCTGCATTTTCATACCATCTTGAGACTTTAATCATTAGTTAGCAGTGACCTACACCATACACATATTGCTGTAGATCACCTTTTAACAACCATTTGGTCATTAACGAATGCCTAACAACAATGGGTTCATTATGTAATTAACATCAATATGGTTCTTAGCTGGCTGAAAGGTACAAAGTTTTGCATTGGCATGGAATCTAGGCACCAAGATTGTCTACCCCTCTTGTAGACCGAAAACAACTTACTGATATCCTACCGCTTTCCATTCAGTTAGAAAGTCAAATCTAAGCGCACAAAGATTCGTTTGCCCCTGTAAGCGTGGAAGGTTTTTGATATCCTAAACGTCAAGATATGGCATTGCCATGGCTCAGCAGACATGAGCCTGGTCAGTACCTGGATGGGAGACTCCTGGGAAAAGCTATGGTTGCTGCTGGAAGAGGTGTTAGTGAGGCCAGTAGGGAGCGCTCACCCTGCAGTCTGTGTGGGTCCTTATGCCCCAGTACAGTGAAGGGGACACTAAACTGCAAAAAAGACACTAAATGAGATGTAAAACCGAGGTCCTGACTCTCTGTAGTCATTAAAAATTCCAGGGCGTTTCTCGAAAAGAGTAGGGGTGTAACCCCGGTGTCCTGGCCAAATTTCCCCCTGGCCTTCCCAATCATGACCTCCTAATAATCCCCATCTCTAAACAGGCTTCATCACTATGCTCTCCACCCCACTGATAGCTGGTGTGTGGTGAGGCACTGGCGCACTATGGCTGTTGTCGCATCATCCAGGTGGGGCTACACACTCGTGGTGTTGGAGGAGAGTCCCCATTACCTGTAAAGCGCTTTGAGTGGAGTGTCCAGAAAAGCGCTATAGGAGGATAAGGAATTATTATTACTAAAGTGTAAAGTAGAAATATAATGTTTAAGTTTAAGGAAGCAGGAAAAGCATGCAAAGTAAACTGCACTGTTGCTTGGTAATAGCTTTAGGAAGTGCATACATTTACTATCACTCAATGTGCAGCATAATTTCTTTCCTCACAAGCATAACTGAAAAGCGCACTGCTATTAATAACATTTACCTCTTTGTAATCCAGTTATCTTCTAGACTGGACAGAGTCCAGGTGTCTTCTCATTCCTGCACTCAAATATTATTTTCTGACCTTCCACCAGAGAGCACATCTGTGTGTGTGTAGGCGGACAATGTGGATTATGCCGTATCTGGGCATTATTCCTTCTAGAACAGTGCAAGAGAAACACGTTTGGCCGTATTGACACGGCTCTTGAAAGACGACTCATTAATTCAATATTCAGGTTTGAAAACATACCTAACGAAGCGTGGCAAACTGTCGTATCTCTGATGCTAATGAGGGATCACTGAAAAATCCCAGTGAATAAACAACGAAAACAAGCATTCACATGTATTTTCCCCCTAAAAACGAATCTGTCTGAACATAAGAAAACATTAAAAACACATTTTTAGGCAACTTCCTGCAGAAACAAACGGGCATTGCTGTACGTGTGAGGACTTTTTATAGCTCTCATTCTATTTTTATCTGCTACTTCAAGCTCCTCTCAAATCACAACAGACAAAAAACAAACAGTCTGGGGCACTCTTACATTTAAGAGATGCCATCTTGTTTAACACAAAAAAGTAATTTCCAGTTTGGAAAGTTGGAGTGACTCCCCACACTATCTCCGTATCATGTTTCTGGGATTAATTCCCTAGTAAGGCATGCCCAGCCCCATGCCACACACCACAATCAAACATGTCACTTAAAGGGCTATATAATTACAATATCTAAAAACACATCTCGCCTCTGCCCATTCACACACGAGATGGGGCAGCATGTTGCTGGGGTGCCCTGTGTAAATACACCACACCTGCTGACAGTACACTGGCTGCTGATCCCCCACTGGCCAAGAGCTGCCAGTCTAAAAGATCTTACTGGGTTTAGTGTGGTGCCAGTTCAGCCAAAGCTTTTAGACTGCTGGAAGCATTTCTCAATCCAGAATGGATTAAGAAATAATTTGATTGCTTTTTTTAACTATTTTTTGGTTTACAACACAGGATTACTCCCTCATCAGAGACTGTCCTCTGTCATTCAGTCTTTGATGACAGTAAAATATCGGCCAGGTGCTGGCTTGTGTGCCTCTCGCTGTACGGTAGATGAATGAGTGAGGAGGTTTATTATAGAAGCCCTCTATAATGAAACATTGATGGTTCTGCCACAACGGCTGGAATCAGCCTGAGTTACTGAAGCAGTAAGGGCTTTGAAACGGGGTCTGGCTGCTTGGAAGCACAGCTGTTAGCGAGTCTAAAGAGAGCTGGCATAAGCAGAGGGTGGCATGGACAACATGTGAACAGCAGGCCACACACACACACCAGACACAGAGGAAGCAGAATGAGGACAGTGCTACTACGTGCTTTTCATCAATCACAGAAAGCACAAGTCCAACATAATGATGATCCTAAACAACCAGAAAAACACTGGCTCCTATGCAGCACAGCCCTACATTTTCTACAGTACATCTCTTAACGCAATGTTATCACAGAAATAGACTTCACCGCACGATGTGTCCTGTTACAAACGCCTAGAAAGGGCAGTGAGCCTAAGATCACAGTCCACAAGCTGAAAACTGACGCTCGCCTAAAAAAAGCAAACCCTTTGTTTAAAAAAAGAATCTGGCAGCGGGCTCCCATGAAACACTTTCAGAATGTTTGTGACAATACCTACGACCCGTCAAGTGCTACAAAATAAATCGGATTAAAATACATAGCACAATCAAAAGTACTACATAACAGCACGGACCTCTAAATGATGTTCTTGCAACAATCAAATCGAAATTCAGCTTTTCTCCGGTCTTCAAACTCACCTTTACAGCAGAGGCAAGTTAGAATTCGCAAGTCTCCAAAGCTACCACTGTGGTTTAACAATCCTGGATTTCAGCTGCTCCGTGTGGAACTGCCCGCATGAGACTTTTCCCACTCTGGATCCGTCTGATTTTCTCCCCTTGTCAACGGGGACAAAGTGCCTCGAGGGTCTAGACACACTGTCACCCAGCTCTTGTGCTATCAGCCCTCTGGACTGCAGGCTGCTGTGGAAAAGCACATCTTGATCTGAAACCGGGCAGATGGGACTGCTCCGCTAATTACCATGACAACAGCCTCATTAAGGAGGGGGAAGAAAAAAAAAAAGTACAACGGGCACTTCACACAAGTGAAAAATGAAGAGTACTCGTGTCCCCTCTTGAACGGCAAAAGACCACTTTAATCATCATCGCCTCTAATGCGGGCATAAGAAATGAATCAGCAAAGCCTTAAGGCAAAAACATTTACTCGAAAGCAAAGGTTGAAAAATGAGGCCATAAGAACGCAGAAGACTTTCCTCCGTGACATACAGTGTAACCCCTCCCCGCCACTGCCAGACCTGTTAGAAGTGTGGATCTCTTTTACAAACAGCAAGGCCTGGGCTCTCACTTCCCATATAACGCTTTGAGTTCAGCCCTGCAGACAAACGGTAAGAAGCTGGGCAGACAGCCGAGACCAAAAACTCCCTCTGGAAAAACTAAACTAGGTGTGGTGGACAGCGAGAGGAAGGGTGAAAACTCAAGAGGAATAATCATAACGATATAACCAGTGTGCAGCCCCACCTGGATGATGCTCCAGTCTGCTCACACACACCAGCTCTCAGTGGGGAGGAGAACAGAGTGATGAAGCCAGTTCTGGCCAGGACGCTGGGGTAACACCCCTACTCTTTTCAAGAAACACCCTGGGATTTTTACTGACCACAGAGATTCAGGGCCCTGGTTAAATTGTTTGCTTTTTACATTTTGCTTGTCTTTATAATTGCTTTCCTACATTGTCCAGTGGATGTGAATGACTGCATAAATACCTCCGTTTCAGAAGTAGCCTCTTCCGTCTCAGTGTTTCCTCATTTTATCCCCAGGAGGTCTCCCATCCAGGTACTGACCAGGCTCAGTCCTGCTGAGCTTCAGTTGTGGGTTGTCAGTTGCGAGATGTAGGGTGATATGGTTTCTGGTTAATATCTGACAAATATTGAGGTCTCCCACATAAGGACCCTGTAACATGTATAACCGTGCTGTAACGTAAGTGATGGGGTAGAAAGGCCAAGGAGGTTTGCCTTTACCTGGGACACCTCTGACTAATGCTGCATCTACAGCAATGGCTTCAACCTACACCCTGTCAGGTCCTTTATGACAAGATGTAGAGGTCTATTCTAGCTAGTTCTTGGACTGGAGACATGGAAGGGAAATCAGGTGCTGCAGGTGTTATGCTAGTGAGGAATTACCTGGTTTTCTTTCCTTCTTGTTGGGGGACAGGGCAGAGACAAAGCCTTTCAGCCACAGACAGAGACGGCCATTCAGCAAACATGAATCGCCCCCCCCCACAACCTGTAGCAAGAAGCCATCCTCTCTTTGTCGGAGTAAGAATATTCATATTGTTGTTATTGGGGAAAAAATGTCACTTAGAAACAAAAACATGGAATGAGACATAAAAAAAAAGAACTGGCACAGTAGCTGTATTTTTCTTTCCATTCTGTGGCTGCTAATGGCAAATTTGCCTTGTTTTGGGAAAGTCAGAGGATGCGCAGGTCACTGCACTTGTTTGAAAAACAGTGAGGTCTCTGTTGATAACACACAAGGTCTGCTAAGCTGTTCTGCCTCGTGAGAAAGATCTGATTTAAAAAGCTTGCAGGCAGCGCGCTTTCAACAGTTTTAATTACAGACACACAAAGAGCTTATTTGAAATGGTGAACCCCAAATCTCTGCTGTGGTAAAAAAAACAAAGTGGGCGAGCCGTTTTGGTTTTGCAGAACCCTCTTCAAAGACCTCGAGTTATGACTACTTGCATTATATCAATATTGTATCTAAACACAGAAAACAACAAACTGGAATTTTACCTTGATGTGCATCTCTGTTTTCCTTCTCTGTTTTTCAATTTTTTAATGCAAAAACAACAATAAAAACCTGTTCCATACTAACTCACTCATTAAAAATAAACCATTTGAAGGACAGTTCTTGATAAAGATAAGGATTTATTTTAAATTCACAGTAATATTGATGTTCACAGTACACATTTAAACTACCATACTCAAAAAGAGATCTATGGAGAGAAGTTGACAAAAGAAATGTTTTAAAGCTACGGAACATCAGAAATAAGCACAAGATAAGAAAATATTACAGGAAAGAGCCTTTAGATCCCTCAGGCTGCTCTTGCTGTTCTGATCTTACTGGTCCAATGACAATGGGCTGGTCGCTGTGACACTGGAAGTACAGCCTGATCTGTTCCATACACCTGCCACTCCAAGTGCAGAGAATCTCCTTGCAGGTCATTTCTAAGCATGTCTATTTTGAAGTCTTAAAAGAATTCGTATATTAAAGACCTCTGAAAACACTGAAACCCTGTCTTGTTTTAGCCTAAAAAGCACTCCAACTTATTTATTCTCAACACATGACATAAAACCCAGCTTGAATCGCTGGGATTTTTCTACACTCCTTCTTGGGCCACCATGTTCTTCAGACTTACACGTTGTGACACTGCAAGGAACCCTGGTTTCTTTGATTTGTTGGTTTAATAAGCTGTTGACTGCGTAAAGTTCACCAAGAATAGACTTCAGACTGGTTATCTTTTTTCTTTACTTCAGCTCGGTTTCAGTTAATTATTCCTTTAGCTCTTTTCCTGTGGGAATAGGCTGTTAATGTCAATCTTTTTTGTGTCTTGTTAGCCAGCTTTGGGCGTAGTCATGACAAAAAATACCTCCTTCATTAGGGTCCTCGTTTGAGTTTCTCATGCTCATAAACAATTTGAATCTTTTCAGTTCTGAATGAAGTTTGAGCTTCAAGGCTCTGAAGGTTTCAGCCTCGTAAGAGTGTGTGTAGAGGCTCTGTGTTATTTTAGAGCGAATTAACAATAATAGATGTTTTAAAAAATTGACAAAGCACTGAACTGAGCAACTACCCAAAGAGATCAGATTTTTGGAATCATTTGGCAAATGATCTATTGTACACCTTAGAAAAACCTCCGCTCTCCCTAAATACTGAATATAGCATTTTTAGCTCTTACATAGGCCTCTTTTTATGAGAGCTGTACCACCTAAGTGCGGTATCCAAACTATTTATTTTCTGATAGAAAACAGTCTTTTAATTAGGAGGTTGAGCAACAGTCTTACTCTTCCTAATTAAGGAGAATAAAACAGGCTTACCAATCATTCTAAAAGAGGTCTCCATCATATCCTCTTAAACACTGCAGGAAGCGAACCAAAACTCAGAGAGTACAAAGAAATACACCTCTATATAAACCTAAACCTGTCAGTTAGGCACCAGTCCAGAATGTTTTTACCATCTGAAAGTCAGTATTTTGCCAGCAGCAGCCTCTGCCATGAACTGATGTGGCAAATGACCTCCCGGTCTGAACTGGGGCTCTTAACTACAAAAGAATGATTCATAATTCAGTCTACAAACTGGACACGTCCGCTATAGCTACATTCCTCGATTTAGGACGGATTTGTATTCCTGGAAAAGACAGATGAAAGGGTCTTGATCTCTCTTTCTTTTTCCCACAACCCCAGTATGTTAGAATGAAAGTTGACATCAGCTTCAGAGCTGGCAGATTTCCAACGAGAATGATGGCCTAGGCTGGACGTGGTCCTACAGAAAGGCCAGTGTTGCCGTGGCAATGCCTGACAATAACGCACTGTGTAGTAGCCCATGTTCAATTACAGGCTTAACTACTGTCGCTTAATAGCAAGACAGCCAGCTCCTGATGGTTAATCACACTACCAGCGGATAAACTGAGTGAAATCATTTCTCCACACCAAAAAAAATGCAACTCTTCCAGACCCTTGACCTTACAGAAAAATATGAATGTGTCCTTCAGTAAAAGCACATAAAGAGACTTCAGAAAAAAAAGACTTCAAAGGAAGGAAATGCAACATTCATTCTGTTACAAAGAACAGACATTATATTTGATTGTCTGCTTGGACGTCTCCCTCCCTATATGACCTCACTGGCATTGTTCAAAGAGGGAACATTGTGTCTGTTTTGCATCTTCTGTACTGGGCAAAAGTCTGCGCCCCCTTCCAATGACATGCCAGTTTGTTCACTTATAGAAGATGAAAACATGGCTAAAAATCTGCTTAAAAAACAAAACTTGAATGGCCATTCTGCACACTTTCAGTCGAAAGAAGTTCAATGTCATTCAAAACTTCAAAAAACAACTTTTTGAAAAAGCACTGTAGATACAAAACAAAGAATTGGAAGAATACACTTATCAACGCTTGTGCCTTGCGCAGACTTGGGTCTAGAAAAGAAGCGGCACAAACCCAACACAAAAAAACGCATTTTAAATGATACGGAGTTTTCAAACCGTGGGATGTCTTGTGAGAGGAGGGCAGAGGAGCTGCCAGAAACACTGCCCCTTCAGGAGAGTGGAACAGCAACCCTCTCACCCGGAAAAGACAACCAAATACCCCCCGCCATGATTTTCCAATCAAATTCACTTCAATACATGAAAATACCAAAACGGGACACGTGCGCAAAGACAGGAGATGGAAGATGGAGAGACGGCAGCCTACACAACACAACAAGCCTCACCCGCCCAGAGCACAGACCACTGCAACTCCTAGGACACATTTCCAGCTCTCTCCCTCACTGCATTCTGGCCAACTGCATTTTGCAAGTAACTGAGTTACAGCATGCAGTAATTAGTGGTGAGTAAACTACTCATTTTCCAAAACTACTGCATGTATGTTCTTACACGGAATAATGACATGTTTGCAAGGAAGACACCATGCACCAAAAAATGTCTGAATCTCTGTTTTTCCATCATGCAACATGACTCTTGAAACAACTCTGTGGTACAGGATTTGTCTTCATATTATGCTGTAATGTAACACTGTTGTGAAAGTACTGCATCCTTTTTTTGAAACAATTACTTCATCGGAACCAGGAACTGTACAGTACATCACCACACACCTATCAGAGAGCAATCTTGTGAGTATGTCAATCTTCATTGATTATAAACAACATTTTAAAACTACTGTATGTACGACTTTGAATAGGAAAAAACAGTTAGAATAAGTGTACACTTAAGTTTATCAAGAAATAAGCAAAGACTGTGTT